TAATTTATGTTCATGTTATATGTTCATCAACGTTAATTATAGGATTCTAATGCTAGTTCCAGTTGTTATTCCAGTAGTGTGAAATTTTCCTATTTTTATGGTAGTTAAGTATATAAAATAAATTTACAACAAGAGTGAATTTATTTCATTCGATATCTTCTGCCATTTTCGGCAGATTTGGCCACAAATCCAATAAAATGTTGTCTGTAAAATTTAGTCTTAAGTTACAATTGAATCTTAAATACATATTTTCGAGTATTCTTAGTCTTAGCTAGCAGGATCAAAGGCTCGATATGTTCCACGAACTAAGCCGCTTGATAAATATCCAATTGCCACGCCTGCGTTTGGTAGTTGCAACAAACCTGCCGCTAAATGTTGCAACGCCCTCGCTGACCGCGCTCAACAATAGATCGGAGTCAAAACGATGCCGACCTTCTGTCTGAAAAATACGCGTGCGATTTGTATTATTTGGCGTGATAATGGACCAACCCATGTCAGATCAAGGCCCACTCAAAGGAAGGCAACACAACTACGAACACAAACACAAACACGAGCAGAAAGACAAAATCAAATGCCAAAACACCGACAAAAAATTCAAAAAGTCAAATAAATAGAAAATAGAAAATAAGAAACACTTGTGGTAATTAGTGTTAAGGACAAAGGAGCAACGAGGCCGACAGGAGGACGCGTGGGAATAGCCAAAGGCTATTTACCAAATATTTGAGACGGCCAGACAATGCGGCAACAATTGTGCCGCAGAGGCTCAAACCCAGATAGAATACCGAAACTAATACAAACAGGTTCAATTATTTGCAAAAATCAAAAGAGAGAAAGGTAGATCAAAGATAAAAGGCAAGAGAGCGAGAGCGAGAGCGAGAGTTAGAGAGAGGGAGAAAACTGGCAATGGCCGCAGAAGACAAACGGTCGCCGATCRCCAAGAGTCAAAGAGCCGTTCACACCTACTCTAATACCGACAAGAGATAGAGCGAGTGAGAGAGAGATAGAGGGAGAGGGAGTGAGAGAGCGAACTAGAGCGAGAGAGACTGCTGCATTCTTGCAGTGTCACATGACAAATGAGTGAAAGAGAGATGATTGCGCAAAAATATCCTGCTCCTTTTTCGAGGGCCCATATGTGTGCGGTCCCACAGAGAGCTGTTGTGGCTGTACGATCGTGCCCTCGATCATGCATATGGTCTGCGGCTCTTGTGGCTCATTTGTTCGAGCCGTTCGGGCACCCATTAAAATCGTTCATGCCCGAAAAAAGTGTCAACGTAACAAAAGCAGCGCCTCGACTTCAAATGCACCGATCGTCGTCGGCGTCTTTAATGCCCACCAGGGTGTCCTGGGTCGATCCGTTTGATCTCATTGTTGGGACTGTATTCTGTTTTCTCGTTCGATGCACCGCTGCGCGGCTCGTTCGTGTTGATGAGTTACAAAATATTTTATTAACGTATTATCACACTTTAGCCAAGCGCGCCCGAGTAGCTCTTCCTCTCTGCCTATAGCTATATATGTATATATGTAGCTGTAGCTGTATCTGTAGCTTGTCTCTGTGTTTGTATCTGTGTATCTGTATTTGTCGCTGCCTGTGCTGTCTGGGCTGTCTGCTCATCTTTGGGGGATTTGTTTTGATCAAGTGTTTGTTCGCATTGTTATTTAAATTAGTTTCATTTCATTCTGAGAGATCAACTGCATCTGCATCTGCATCTGCATCTGCATTTGGATCGCCATCTTCGGGGGGTGCTGGCTCCACACAATCGGCTCGACTCGGCTTGTCTCTTTGCCGCCGGATTATGATTATAACTAATTTTGGTCTCGGCTCCGTCTCTTTGCCGCTGTCTGTTAACAATTTTGTAAATTAGTTTAAATGTGCATCCTCTCATTTGTATCTGATAAGCGGACTGGCTGACGGACTAGCGCGAGGGCGTTGATAGAGCATAAATTTTGGTTACTTTATGTTTAATATATTCGGTAGAAGCATTTAAATAAATATTTGTTATATAATTATACGCTGTCCGATTAGCTGGGCGGTCAGTTTTTAGAACTTCTAGCCTGCCCTGAAGAACTGAGAAACAAAAATTTCGCTGTGGCTTTGTTTCAATATGTTCTAAGTCTTTAAGCTGAGCTCAAGTTCTTAATTTTCGTATTCAACTGTGTAAACTGTTGATTAAAGATATTTGTCTGGCTAAATATTTTAGAAAATATTTTTATTAATTCGATCGTTCACCCTATTTTCAAGGTCTGTGCATTTAAAGCCTTTAAGAAATCCCGAGCTCAACGCGTGTTCAACTTTCAAATATGAGCGGCATATATACATACAGATCTCAAATATATATTTATATACGAACCTTTTTAATACTCCTGTAATCCTTTTGCTGACAAGAATCTTAAGCCTTAAAACAGAAAACAGAACWGAACTGAACTGAGCAGCGCACGCCGACTGAAGACCCCGAAAGTCCCCAAATCCCAAATCTGGCTGCTGACAGAGCCCTCGCGTGTCTCCACGTCGCTCCTCGTCTCTCTCTCGGCTGACAGCTGACAGTGGCCTTCAGCTCAGTGGTGTCCGCTAATAAAAAGTGTCAAAGCCGAGGGCAATGAGTTGGATACCACAAATTTCATTTACTTAGCTTTACTCTTCTATATATGTAAGCATATGTATGTATATATATTTTATTTATACATTTATATATACTTATTCAGATCTCTGCTGGGGCTTTTCAATTGCAGGGCAACATTTTATATTAGATGCAGGCAATTTAAATCGTGTCAGACTCGTGTTGATTGATGACTATAGCATCTCGTCTATGGGGCTGGGCCTTGCTTGAGCTCGATCTTTTGACCCTTTGCACACAAAAGTGTGCCCTATGACTGTCCATCAAGAGTGTGGCTGCCTTTGGCCACACAGCAGCTGTCCCCACTCCCCACTCCCCACTCCCCACCTCCTGCTCTCTTGCTCCAGCGGCATTTACTACCTGCTGTTTATATTTTTGGAAAATGCAATTCGAAACGTCGTTGAAAATGATCGATACCCCGCGCGGATTACAAAACCACGGCGATTTATCATCACGGGGTCAATCGAAAAGAAAGCCATAGCACCACAGCTCCACAGCACCACCGGTAGCCACTGTGGTGCCAAATCTTTGATCTCTGTTTTTTCTGTTTTCTTTTACGGGGATTGTTAATTGTTGAATTGCTGCATTGCTGGATTGTTTTAAGTCTGAGTTTGAGCTCTTTTTCACTTGTGGTAGCAACAAATTAATAAATTGTTTAACATTTCAAAACTAATTGATTTTTCCATAGCTCTGTCTCCCTCTGTCTCTCTTCCTCGATCTTTTATTTCCCTCACTCGAACAGCTTCTGCAGTTTTGGTTTAAGGGAACCCGTTTCTTATAATTAAGTTTTATTGTTGCGTGTGTTGAAAGATTAATAGTCGACTTCTGTTTTTATTATTATTTTTTTGTTTCCACTTGTTTAATACGCATGTGAATTTCGAAAACCCGCGCCACTAAACAGTGGGCGTTCCACACTTGAGGATTTCTTGCTGCTTTCGCAGATCTTTGTTTTACTTTTCTCTTCTTTTTGTATTTCTGTTTTTAATAATTATTTTTAGGTGTGTTTCTTATGAGCTTTACGATGTTTATAAGCGTGCCTGAAACTTTAAGCTTTTTTGGCAAATCCCATTTTGAAGATTTGCATTGATTAGACTGACAGGTGCATGGGTGTGGCCTAACGTGGTATGTCAAATGTTTATGAAATCTTATGCAAATTGAAAACTATATTTAATAGAAGTTGACATCACTTTAAGATAGTTCAAAATATATGAAAGATCAGATAGATCAGGAGTTTGACAACGAAAAACAAAATATTATATTTTAGTTTGAGATTTTATTGAATATAAAATGTATATATTTTCAAGTAGGAATTCAGCATCATAAATTTTAAATAACTTGATCTGTAAAGCTGTGAAAACCACCTGGGTACTCACTATGTTACTCAGAAGACCATATAATATAATTTATTATATTTCATATTCAAATTTAAAAAAAATAAAATTTATTGGTAATATTATTATTGGTAATATTATTATTATTATAATAAAAGATTGCATTACTTTTAGATTGATTTTTATATAAGAAATAGTAGTTAGATTAATATCCTGACAGAGTATTTAATAGATTGAACTGAGACTTAGCTTGAAATCTTATTGAATATAAAATATAGAATGTAGATATTTTCATAGTCTCCTAAGTATGTTAGACATCGTAATATTCTTATTCGAATTTATCTTATTTAACCAGTTCCCTAATCACCTTAATAATTTCAATTTATATTGTATTATATAACCTATATTTGAGTAAGAACTAGCCCTTTTTCTAATGCTTTTTGTTGTCCATTGATAACTGTACTCAAAGAGCAGCCCTACAAAACTTCCTCTCACTTCCTGTCCTAGATCCTTGGGCAGTGGTCTCATTTATCAAGCCCCAATATCAATGTGGCCTAATCCACTAAATCAATTAATAATTTCTCACTGGACAGACCGGAAAAGATTACAAGGCTGACCGCAACCGCAATATGTACCTGTGATCACCTTGATCGTTTCCTGTGCCACACACACAGACACAAATGCGCTCGCTCGCGGTTGATCAAGGACGATCTATTTAATCGAAGGCGGTGCGGAAACCCAGCAAAGTATTTCCGCTGCGAGGACCAAGCCAGGCTCAACTCGACAATTGTGAGCGTATTTGTGTGCGCTCAAAAGAAAGGGAAAAGAGCTGGCAACTCATTATGAAAAATGATCTTGTGATCTTGTTGAATAGTTCCGAAACTCTTTGAAGTGAACCCTAGCCAGGCCTAATGTCAGTTTATTGTGTAATGAGCTCTCCAAATAATTTGGCATGCCCTCCAACTGTAACCGACTCCCAACCACCGATCGCTGCGATCGCTGCCACACGCCGCGCTTCATGCCCGATTTGAGAGCTAGGCGGCATTTACTTTCGTAAACAGATGCCGAAGTTAATTGGCGCACTCCTCCGTGGCGCGACAGCGGCTCACCCTTGCCCGTTGACAACTTGCCGATCGTCATCCTCTTGTGTAATTTGATATATTGTGTCACTTGTCAACTGTGGTGACTTTTACGAGCTGCCTGCGGCAACGCCCCCTCCTCGCCAGCTTCAGCGAACTGCTTCGTCGATTCATCGTCGCTGCGACTGCTGTGCTGCGATCGTCGGCGGCTGCTTTTGACAGATTTGTTGCGCTCCCTGACGTTTCAATTAATATGCAATGGCGCGCAGTGAACGTCGACACTCCCACTCCCACTGCCAGTTCCACTCATCTGCCCCTTTCCTTCTCCCATTCACATTCACATTCCCATTCCCATTTTCCATTCAGATTCCCATTCTCATGCCGAGGGGATCTCGCACAGTCAAACGATCGATTCACCACCACGTCGGTGGCCCCATCGAATATGATTTAGTGACTTTCCTTCCCAATATCCCATTCAGCAGCGCTGAGCGTACAAAATTTTATGACTTCTTACGAGGCGTTTATAATTTTTAGTAGCCTTTTAATAAACTCTCATATCTCTTTGCGCAGGCCGAGACTCGGACATCAGCGACACCGAATCGGAGCCGGGTATTCCGCTCAAACGAAAGCAGCGACGCTCCCGCACCACATTCACCGCCGAGCAGCTGGAGGCTCTCGAGCGCGCCTTCTCACGCACCCAGTATCCGGATGTCTATACCCGAGAGGAGCTCGCTCAGACCACCAGCTTGACTGAGGCGCGCATCCAGGTCTGGTTCTCCAATCGCCGTGCCCGTCTGCGCAAGCACTCGGGCGGCTCGGGCTCCGGACTGTCTCCCATGAATGGTAGCGGTGCAGGCGTCGGAGTGGGTGTACCACCCAGCAGCGCAGCAGCACCACTTGGCTTTGGGCCACTGGGCGTGGGCTCGATGGCGGGCTACAGTCCCGCCGCAGGCACCACGGCCAGCACCGCCACAGGCATGACCGACAGCTCGCACCACCACCACAGCACCGCCCATGCTCCCAGCACCCACAGCGCAGCAGCGGCTGCGGCAGCGGCCCATCACCACACACAAATGGGTGGCTACGACCTGGTACAGAGCGCGGCTCAGCACGGCTTTCCGGGCAGCTTTGCCCAACACGGACACTTTGGCGGGCAGAACTATTACCATCAAGGTGGGTACATGATGCTTAAGATGAAATCCTTATCCATCTTCTCTTTTGTTATGGATTTCATGTACTGAGTTTTCTACTTACTCAATCCATAATCCCACTATCTCAACTCTGTCCTTGCTTTAACTTCTAGAATGAGGAAAGGGTACAAGAGACCTTCCTTTCCATATTTACGTAAATCTTCATGATTCTCTTGCTGTTTTATAGAAATTGAGCTGTCAATATTGACTGTAGACCGATTCTTGAGATTGTCTAAATATTATACATACTTGTCGTATATCCAAAACTATTATTTCCAAAGTTTTTTTTAAACCTAATCAATTTTGCATCTGGATCACCTACTACATATTTATCCCTAATATATA